GGCTGGTGTCAAACTCCTGACCTGATAATCCCGCCTCGGCCTCCCAGAGTGCTGAGATTACAGGCCTGAGCCACTGCACCCGGCCCACTCATTCATTTTTTGCAGTAAGGGGAAGATGGGGAAGGGGAAGCTGGGGGGAGCTGGACCACCCAGGGCCTGGGTTCCTCAAAGCCACCTCTGCAGGGCAGGCCTGGGAGGCCAGACACTCTGTCGGCACGTGTGTGAGTGGCCATGTGGCCTCAGGCCCGGTGCGTTTCAGGGTCCCCCTACGCACAGTGGGATGAGCCCCAGGTGAAAGCGTTTCTGTAGGGAGACTTAGGAGTTCTTGTGAGCCAGGCTCCAGGACCGGGGGCTTAGGGCCAGCCAGGCCACCGTGACCAGCACACACGGCTGGCGGTGACCTCCCCAGGAAAAACTGAGGGCGGTCTGGGTCCAAGGCACCTCAACCTGCCGTGGCTCCCGAATTCCCCCCAGTCCTGCCCCACTGGTCCCTTCTGCAGGTGCCGACCTGGAGGGGAAGCGGCAGATGAAGGTCAGTAACCGGCACCTGGATTTCCTGCCACCCGGACTGCTCCTGTCCGCCTACCTGGAGCAGCGCAGCTGATGGCGGCCCCCCGGAGCCCCCACTGCCACCTCACCCAGCACCAAGCCCTTCGATACTTTCTGCTATCGACACCCATCTCTCACGTTTTTAGAATTTGTCCTTGGAAACCTTTTTCCCTTGGGGTGATCTCTCTCACCCTGCTCCCTCCTCACGCAGCCCTTGGCAGTCAGCAGGCACCGCCGGTGGCTGGGACTTCGCACCCCATCCTAGCTGCAAGCTTCCCACTCTGGGACTTGTATTTGGGTGGGGAGACCCGGTCTGGGCATCTACCTGTTCTTCATGGTTTCGCTTTTCTGGCCCAGTCTGAGGCTCAAGTGAGGAGAGGGAGGCTGGGGTTTTTATCACTTTTAATGAATTTGGTGTGATTTGTTGTAGATTTTTAAATTTCCCTTTTGGAGAGAAAAACCAAAAAATTCACCCCACTGGTAAAGTGTGGGTCTTGGTCCCGGCCCCTGCTCAGCCCCTCCCAGTTTTTAGCTCGAATGAGGAAGGGGGTCTCTGGGACCCTGCCCCTCATGCCAGAAGCATCTTGTATTGTGTGTGTGTGTGTGTGTGTGTGTGTGTGTGTGTGTGTGTCTGCATGCGTGTGTACGTGCGTGTGTGTGCCTTGAGACCCAGGACAGAGCCGTGTCCCGAGGGCTGGTTTTATCCTCCGCGTTCTTCGTGCCCTTCCCCACACCGCCTCTGTCAGGGCTCAGGGTCCCGCCTGCTTTACATGAACCCCCCTCTTTTCTTCCCCTGGGGGTCCAGGACTTCCAGCCAGAAGCCTCTGCCCTTGCACTACCTTGTCTGTCCCGCCCACTCCATGTCCCCCTGTCCCCCAGCCTGGCTCCTGTGTCCCCATGCTGGTCCTCCTGACACAGGCTGCACCAATCAGGCTGGGGGCCTCCCTGCCCCCTCGCCGAGCGTGGTTGATTGTATTTTGGGGGGAAGTGGGGGATTTAATAAATTTCTGGTGCTCTGGCCTCAGGCTTTGTGGGTTTTTCTTTTGGGGCAAGGCTGGGGGCTTAGTAGGTCCTGGTCACCTGGGGCTGCCAGTGCCCCCCTGGCTCCTCTACTCTTGGGTGCCTGGGTTCAAACCCCGGCTCTGCCGCACACCTGATGTCTGACCTTAGGTGAGTGGCCTATATGAGTGCCGCGGGGCCCCTGTAATGGAGTGTCTTACACTGGGGGCTCAAAACGGTGGAAGGCCAGCGAGGTGGCTCACACCTGTGATTCCAGCACTTTGGGAGGCCAAGGCAGGAGGATCGCTTGAGCCCAGGAGTTTGAAACTAAATGGGGTAACGTAGCAAGACCCTGTCTCTACAAAAAAATGAAAGAAATTAGCAGGGTGCGGTGGCACGCCTGTAGTCCCAGCCTCTTGGGAGGCTGAGGTGGGAGGATCACTTGAGCCTGGGAGGTTGAGGCTGCAGTGAGCTGAGACTGTGCCACTTCACTTCAGCCTGGGTACGGAGGAAGACCCTCTGTCGAGGAAAAACGAAAGGGAAATCTATTCTCTCACAATTCCAGAGGCACAAGTCTGAGGTCAAAGGTGTCTGCAGGGTGACCGTCCCTCTGGACCCCTAGGGGAGGAGCCTTCCTGCCTCTCCCAGCTTCTGGGGGCTCCACGTGCCCCTGGGTTGTGGCCACATCGATGTGGTCTCAGCCTCCATCTCCGAGAGGCCGTCTCCCCTGCGTGTTATCTTGACATCACCCTCCCTCCACGGGTCTGTGCCCAAATGCCCCTCTGTGAAAGGACGCCCATCATTGGGTCAGGCCCACACTAATCACCTTTTAACCTGATTACCTCAGAGAGACCGTTTCAAAATAAGATCGAATTTTGAGGTAGTGGGAGTTAGGAATTCAACGTCCTTTTTTTTTTTTTTTTTTTGAGATGGAGTTTTGCTCTTGTTACCCAGGCTGGAGTGCAATGGCGCGATCTCGGCTCACCGCAACCTCCATCTCCTGGGTTCAGGCAATTCTCCTGCCTCAACCTCCCGAGTAGCTGGGATCACAGGCACGCGCCACCACGCCTAACTAATTTTTTGTATTTTTAGTAGAGACGGGGTTTCACCATGTTGACCAGGATGGTCTCGATCTCTTGACCTCGTGATCCACCCGCCTCGGCCTCCCAAAGTGCTGGGATTACAGGCGTGAGCCACCACGCCCGGCCTTTCTTTTTTTGAGACAAGTGTTTGCTCTCACCCAGGCTGGAGTACAATGGTGTGATCGCGGCTCACTGCAACCTCCAGCTCCTGGGTTCAAGCGCGTCTCCTGCCTCAGCCTCCCGAGTAGCTGGGATTACAGGTGGCCGCCACCATGGCCGGCTAATTTTTGTGTTTAGTAGAGAGACAGGGTTTCATCACATTGGTTGAGCTGGTCTGAAACTCCTGACCTCAGGTGATCCCACTGCCTTGGCTTCCCAAAGTGCTGGGATTACAGGCTTGAGCCACTGTGCTTGGCCCCCACCCTGCTAATTTTGTACTTTTTGTAGAGATGGGGTCTGGCTATATTTCCCAGGCTGGTCTTGAACTCAAGCTGTCTTCCCACCTCGGCTTCCCAAAGTGCTGGCATTACAGGTGTGCACCACCACACCCTGCCCCCTGAGAACGGGAAACACCTACCTGCTGCCTGGGAATGTGGATTTTCTGTAAGGTCACCGCGTGGCCCTCTTGGGGAACTGAACCCTGATCCAGAAAAACCCTCTGATGGGCTGGGTGTGGTGGCTCACGCCTGTAATTCCAGCATTTTGGGAAGCCAAGGTGGGTGGATCACAGGTTCAGGAGTTTGAGACCAGCCTGACCAACCTGACAAAACTCTGTATCTACTAAAAATACAAAAATCAGCTGTGCATGGTGGTGCACGCCTGACCCTGTCTCAAAAAGGAAATAAATAAAAGTAAAATAATAATAACAATGTAGCCGGGCGTGGTGAGTCACGTCTGTAATCCCAGCACTTTGGTAGGCTGAGGACCATGAGGTCAGGGGTTCGAGACCAGCCTGAGCAACATGGAGAAACCCGGTCTCTACCTAAAAATACAAAAATTAGCCAGGTGTGGTAGCGCGCACCTGTAATTCCAGCCACTTGGCAGGCTGAGGCAGGAAAATTGCTTGAACCCGGACAATGGAGGTTGCGGTGAGCCGAGAGTGTGCCATTGCACTCCAGCCTGGGCGACAGAGTGAGACCCTGTGTGAAAAATAAATAACGCCCAGCTAATTTTTGCATTTTTAGTAGAGATGAGGTTAAAAATAAAAAAATAAATAAATAAAAAGAAAAGCACAACATGCATTGCATTAAACTGGCTCGTGGAGGTGGAGGTGGAAATGGGGTTGGAGGTAGGAACATTCCTCAGCGGGACTGGTGACTTCAGATAAAGGAGCCTCAGTTTCTCCAATCTTGGAGACTAGAAAACGGAAGAAATGGCCGGGCGCGGTGGCTGACGCCTGTAATCCCAGCACTCTGGGAGGCCGAGGCGGGTGGATCACGAGGTCAAGAGATCGAGACCATCCTGGTCAACATGGTGAAACCCCGTCTCTACTAAAAATACAAAAAATTAGCTGGGCATGGTGGCGCGTGCCTGTAATCCCAGCTACTCGGGAGGCTGAGGCAGGAGAATTGCCTGAACCCGGGAGGCGGAGGTTGCGGTGAGCCGAGATCGCGCCATTGCACTCCAGCCTGGGTAACAAGAGCGAAACTCCCGTCTCAAAAAAAAAAAAAATTTAAATTAAATTAAAAAAACATAAAATCAAAACCATAGTGTTCTCCTGTGTATGCAGCAGGCGCTCAATATGTGCTCCTGCGGAGCGTTTACTTACTTATTTACGGTAGCTCGAGGGCCACAGGGGCAGGTGGCGGGGCGCCACAACTAAGTGGGGACGGCCAGATTGTTCTCCAGTCGCCGACCTTAGTGGTGCAACAGGAAACGAAAAGGGGAAGGCGATGGCGTCACCGCACCAGTGACGTCATTGCAGGATGGCGGAAGGGAGGGGCCCTGTGACGTCATTGCGGGCTCGCGGAAGGGAGGGGCCCTGTGACGTCATTGCGGGCTCGCGGAAGGGAAGCAAAAATATGGAACGCTTCACGAATTTGCGTGTCATCCTTGCGCAGGGGCCATGCTAATCTTCTCTGTATCGTTCCAATTTTAGTATATGTGCTGCCGAAGCGAGCACGATTGAGCTGCCGCACCGGGACCTATTTATAGCCTCTATAGTCAACTCCTCTACACATAGGGTGACTTTTGTTAAATGCTATAGACGCCCAACCTGTATTTCCGTGGTCTGACGTGTAATCCAACCAACGCAGTTATTAACTGGAGCTGGGAAAGTGCTTATTCCACCAAATATAGTTACGGTGGCTTTTGGGAATCACTGGAAATGCTCGCATGCAAATATACCCGGAAGCGGGGCGGAGCCTAGGCCGCGCCGCCGTCCCAGAAGTCTTTGGGAGGCGGCGGCGCGGGCCAGGCAACTCGTTGGTCCCAGGGAAGATGGCGGCGCCGGAGCCGAGGCATTAGGGAAATTTCGCGCCGCGGACGCCCGCTGGTCTTGGCGCACCGGCCGGCCAGGTGAGCGCGGGGCTGCGGGGGCCGGCCGGGGGCGGGACGGATTCCCGGTGGCGTCTGCTGCCCCAGGGAACGCGGCGCGGCGGAGGCGGGGCCTGCAGGGTTAGGGGGCGTGTCCGGAAGCAAAGGCTGCTGGGTAGGCGGCTTTCGGCCCCAGGGTCTGCAGCTTGCGGCGGAAACTCCGAAGCAGCCGGAGGCCCGCGGGGCGGGGCGGGGCTAGGGGCGGGGTCTGAAGGGAGTTTTGGGCGGGGCTGAAGGCGCTTGGTGGGACTTAGGGGGCGGGGCTTGTGGGTTTGGGGGCCCCGGCATGGAGCCTGGGAACTGGATAGCTATATGGATGAAACCTGGAGAGTTGGGTTCCCTGGGGTGGACCGTGGAGATTGGAGGTCATAGGGGCGGAGCCTGTAGACGCCATGGGGTCCCTGGGATGAAGCCTGCTGTTTGGGGGCAATAGGGAAAGGGCCTGGAGACTACATGGGGTTCCTGGAGGGGAACCTGGGGACTGGGGAGTTTTAGGGGTGGGGCCTGGAGAGCCAAGGCTGTCGGAGGCTGGACCTGGGGAGGTCAGCCAACATGGGACCCCTAGGGTGAAGCCTGAGAATTTAGGCTGAGGCCATGGGCCCCAGGGGTGGTTTGAAGTGGGGGAAGCAAGAGGTGTCAGGGGCTGACTTTAAGGGGTGTCTGGCGGAGCCCTGGGGGTCTGGGGCAGACCCTGAAGTAGGCAGCCCCGGATAGGGTTTGAGGAAAACCGCCTGGTGGTCCTTCCAGCCTCACTGGGTTTTTGCCTTTGTGAAGCAGAAACAGTCTGTCCAGATGCTGGGCGCTTAGAAAGCCCGAAGGAAACAGGGCCGGGCGCCTGTAATCCCAGCACTCTGGGAGGCCGAGGCGGGTGGATCACGAGGTCAAGAGATCGAGACCATCCCGGTCAACGTGGTGAAACCCCGTCTCTACTAAAGATACAAAAATTAGCTGGGCATGGTGGCGCGTGCCTGTGATCCCAGCTACTCGGGAGGCTGAGGCAGGAGAATTGCTTGAACCCAGGAGGCGGAGGTTGCGGTGAGCCGAGATCGCGCCATTGCACTCCAGCCTGGGTAACAAGAGCGAGACTCCGTCTCAAAAAAAAGCAAGCCCCTAGGAAATGCTCCCTCTGTTGCCTGTCACACTCACCAAGCCCCTTCGCCCCAGAACGCCTGCCCGCCTTGGCCACAGGCAGCCCCACCATATGCCTGTTTGTAGGCCCTTCCTTCAAAAGAGACCCAGCGTCCTCCTGCTGCCGCCATCATCACTCACCTGGGCCAGTGCAGACCCTCCGCCGCTTCTTCGGCTGTGCCCTTGGCCCCCCCCCCCCGCCCCGATCTGTTACCCAGATAGCCAGAGGGGCCCTGGTGAAATCCAAGTAAGTCCCAGCCCTCCTGGGCTCCCACCCCGCTCAGGGTAAAAGCCCACAGGCCCTGACCTCTCCACACCCCCTTCAGCCCCAGCCCCGTGGGCTGCCGGGAACGCCCCAGGCTCTTTCTGGCCTCCGGGCCTTTGCACCTGCCGTTCCTTCGACTGCCTGCCTGTGGTTTTCCCGTATCCGGCCTGGCACTCCACGTGCCCTGGAAGCTCAGTCCACACAGACGACCAGCCAGACCTCCCTCCCGCAGGAGCTGGTGACTGCCCTCATGTGTGACTTGCGGCGGCCGGCAGCAGGTGGGATGATGGACTTGGCCTACGTCTGTGAGTGGGAGAAATGGTCCAAGAGCACGCACTGCCCGTCGGTGCCCCTGGCCTGCGCCTGGTCCTGCCGAAACCTCATCGCCTTCACCATGGACCTGCGCAGCGACGACCAGGGTGCGCCCCCTCCCGCCCACGTGGCGTCCCACCCTTTTCCCCAGGTACCCGGCACCCTGCCTTGCGGGGATCCAGTCTTGCAGGACACCCCTCACTCTCTAACGTGGGTGAGAGCCTCAGCCTCCTGGAGGTGCAGAGGGTGGATTCAGTGCTCCCCACACCTGGTGCCGGGAGACGTGAGGTCCCCACTCTGTGGGATCGAACGGGGCTGGGGTGGTGGTTGACGCAGGCATGTTAGGGACACCTGCCCCAGGTTTCCAGATGGTGTGGGTCACTGTTTGGTTTTTGAAAGGCACCTGGTGGCCGGGCGTGGTGGCTCATGCCTGTAATCCCAGCACTTTGGGAGGCCGAGGCGGGTGGATCACAAGGTCAAGAGATCGAGACCATCCTGGTCAACATGGTGAAACCCCGTCTCTACTAAAGATACAAAAATTAGCTGGGCACGGTGGCATGTGCCTGTAATCCCAGCTGCTCGGGAGGCTGAGGCAGGAGAATTGCCTGAACCCAGGAGGCGGAGGTTGCGGTGAGCCGAGATCGCACCATTGCACTCCTGCCTGGGTAATAAGAGCGAAACTCCGTCTCAAAAAAAAAAGAAAGGTACGTGGTGGCTGCACTCATTTTCTCTCTATTGCTCCAGTATATGCACCTGTAATATGTGCTCAATAGAGAAGATTAGAAAACCACAGGAAATTAGAATCAAACCAGGGTGAGAAAAGCCACCTTTCACCTTCTGTGGAGGAGCCTGCTTTCAAATTTTGGGTCATTTTCTTCTAGTCTGGTTTTAAAAACGTGGTCGTGGCGCATCACGGGCCTTTTCTGTTCCGGGGCGGCGGTGGGGGGGGGCACAGCCTGTTCCTTGAGCTGTCGCCCTGGCTGACTGCAGCTCCGTGAGCTCCCTGGAGCCAGGCTGCAGCACCAGGCCATGCTGACCATGCCCCGTCCCCACAGACCTGACCCGAATGATCCACATCCTGGACACGGAGCACCCCTGGGACCTGCACTCCATCCCCTCAGAGCACCGGGAGGCCATCACCTGCCTGGAGTGGGACCAGTCAGGTGAGGTGGGCCCCAGATCTTGTAGTGGGTGGAGGGTGGTGCCCCTGTGTTTCCCTGGTCCGTCTGGCGTCTGGCGCTGGGAGCAGTCAGGTGAGGCGGCCCCAGATCCCAGAGTGGGGTTGGGGGGGTGACCCTGTGTTTCCCTGGTCCATCTGGACTCCAGTGCTGGGACCAGTCAGGTGAGGCAGGCCCAGATCCTGGAGTGGGGTTGGGGGGGTGCCCCTGTGTTTCCCTGGTCCGTCTGGAGTCTGGTGCTGGGACCAGTCAGTTGAGGTGGCCCCAGATCCCGGAGCTGGGGGGTGGAGGGCCCTGTGTTTCCTTGGTCCGTCTGGACTCCAGCACCAGGACCAGTCAGGTGAGGCAGCTGGTCCCACGTGGCCAGGGGCGGCAACCCTGATCCCGAAGAGGGGATCCTGTATTTACCAGGTCCATCTGGAGTCTGGCACCGGGTCTGGAGCCCACCGTCTGTGGTTTGGCAGCTGCTGCTCTTCCCACAGTGCCCTGAATTGTTCTTGTTTGGGGCGTCCTGAGGCATCTCCGGAGCGTGCCTCATGTCACCTGCTGCTCTGCCCTGCCTGGGCCGAGACCTCTCCACTGGGGGGGGCTCCCCCAGGCGCCGTGCCCGTCCCTGGAGGGTTCGTGATGGTGGCTGCTTGCCCACAGGCTCCCGGCTCCTGTCAGCAGATGCCGACGGGCAGATCAAGTGCTGGAGCATGGCGGACCACCTGGCTAATAGCTGGGAGAGCTCGGTGGGCAGCCTGGTGGAGGGGGACCCCATCGTGGCCCTGTCCTGGCTGCACAACGGTGTGAAGCTGGCCTTGCACGTGGAGAAGGTGAGTGTCTTGCCCCAGTGAGTGGGTGAGGCAAATGAGATTGTCACCCCGCCCAGCCACCCGCCAGCCCCTCCCCACCCATCACCAGCATGCCCTGGTCTTTTGTGTTTTTTTTTTTGAGACGGAGTTTCGCTCTTGTTACCCAGGCTGGAGTGCAATGGCGCGATCTCGGCTCACCACAACCTCCGCCTCCTGGGTTCAGGCAATTCTCCTGCCTCAGCCTCCCGAGTAGCTGGGATTACAGGCACGTGCCACCATGCCCAGCTAATTTTTGTATTTTTAGTAGAGATGGGGTTTCACCATGTTGACCAGGATGGTCTCGATCTCTTGACCTCGTGATCCACCCGCCTTGGCCTCCCAGAGTGCTGGGATTATAGGCGTGAGCTACTGTGCCCGGCCTGATTTTTTTTTTTTGGAAACGACTTTCTTTCCCAGGTTGGAGTACAGTGACGCCATCTCGACTCACTGCAACCTCCACATTCTGGGTTCAAGTGATTCTCCTGCCTCAACCTCCCGAATAGGCGGGGTTACAGGTGCCCACCACCACACCTGGTTAATTTTTGTATTTTTTTTAGTAGAGATGGGGTTTCACCTTGTCAGCCAGGCTGGTCTCAAACTCCTGACCTGAGGCGATCTGCCCGCCTCAGCCTCCCAGAGTGCTAGGATTAGAGGTAGGAGCCACCACGCTGGGCCAGACCTTTATCTTTCTTGTTTTTTTGAGACAAGAAAGGGCCTCTCTGTCACCCAGGCTGGAGTGTGGTGGTAGGATCATGGCTCACTGCAGCCTCGATCTCCTGGGCCCAAGCGATCCTCCCGCCTCAGCTTCCCGAGTAGCTGGGAACACAGGCGTGTGCCAGCATGCCCAGCTATTTCCATCTCACTCTGTGTCCCAGGCTGGAGTGCAGTGGTGCGATCTCGGCTCACTGCAACCTCTGCCTCCCAGGTTCAAGCGATTCTCCTGCCTCAGCCTCTGGGATTACAGGCACATGTCACCATGGCCAGCTAATTTTTTTTTTTTTTTTGAGACGGAGTTTCGCTCTTGTTGCCCAGGCTGGAGTGCAGTGGTGCAATCTCAGCTCACCGCAACCTCCGCCTCCTGAGTTCAGGCAATTCTCCTGCCTCAGCCTCCCGAGTAGCTGGGATTACAGGCATGCGCCACCGTGCCCAGCTAATTTTTTGTATTTTTAGTAGAGATGGGGTTTCACCATGTTGACCAGGATGGTCTCGATCTCTTGACCTCGTGATCCACCTGCCTTGGCTTCCCAAAGTGCTGGGATTACAGGCGTGAGCCACCACGCCCGGCCTTTTTTGTTTTGTTTTGTTTTGAGATGGCATCTCACACTCTGTTACCCAGGCTGGAGTGCAGTGGTGCCATCTCAGCTCACTGCAACCTCCACCTCCCAGGTTCAAGTGATTCTTCCACCTCAGCCTCCCGAGTAGCCAGGGTTACAGGTTTACGCCACCACACCCGGCTAATTTTTGTATTTTTAGTAGAGATGGGGTTTCACCATGTTGGCCAGGATGGTCCCAGTATAATACATCCTTTTATCTCCCTTCCATGTTTTTACAACATAGCAGGGGCTCTTTTTTGTTTGTTTTTTGAGACAAAGTTTTGCTCTTGTTGCCCAGACTGGAGTGCAATGATGCAATCTTGGCTCACTGCAATCTCCACCTCCCAGATTCAAGTGATTCTCCTGCCTCAGCCTCTCCAGTAGCTGGGATTACAGGCGCCCGCCACCACGCCCAGCTAATTTTTGTATTTTTAGTAGAGAATGAGGTTTCACCATGTTGGCCAGGCTGGTCTGGAACTTCTGACCTCAAGTGATCCACCTGCCTCCTCCGCCTCCCAAAGTGCTAGGATTACAGGTGTGAGCCACTGTGCCCGGTGTAGACCCCATCTCTTAAAAGACTCATGATCAAAGAAGGGTGGGTGTTTGTGTATGTAAATAATGACCACAAATTTGATTTGAAACCAAAATAGCGACCGCAGTAGCCACTGGTGCTCACACAGCGCTTCCCGAGTGCCGCACCCCGCGGGGGTTTGAGAGTGGGCTGGTCGGCACCCGCCGCCCGGCATGTGTGCACACCGCCAAAGGGACCACCTGGCTTCTGGAACCGAGCGTGCTGGCGTCTGCCCCTTTACAGAAAGAGGAGGTGACTCCTGTCGCACACACGTTCATCCATTTAATCCTCCCCGCTGTCCTCCAAAGCAAAATTCACCTTACAGATGAGGAGACCAAGGGTCAGAAGGGCCCACATCCCACCTCGGCTCAGGGGGCCCAGTCAGGATCTGAACCCAGGCGCACACTCTCCTGGCTTCTGACTTGGGGTTCTTCTGTGTGACTGTTTCTGGGTGTCGCAGGGGGCAGCCCGCAGGAGCCTGAACAGCCCCTCCTCCCTCCCTCCCCCACAGTCGGGCGCCTCCAGCTTCGGGGAGAAGTTCTCCCGCGTCAAGTTCTCGCCTTCACTCACGCTGTTTGGCGGCAAGCCCATGGAGGGCTGGATCGCGGTGACGGTCAGCGGCCTGGTCACCGTGTCCCTGCTGAAGCCCAGCGGGCAGGTGCTGACGTCCACGGAGAGCCTGTGCCGGCTGCGCGGCCGCGTGGCCCTGGCCGACATCGCCTTCACGGGCGGCGGCAACATCGTGGTGGCCACGGCGGACGGCAGCAGCGCCTCGCCCGTGCAGTTCTACAAGGTGTGCGTGAGCGTGGTCAGCGAGAAGTGCCGCATCGACACGGAGATCCTGCCCTCCCTGTTCATGCGCTGCACCACGGACCTCAACCGCAAGGACAAGTTCCCCGCCATCACCCACCTCAAGTTCCTGGCCCGGGACATGTCGGAGCAGGTGAGCGCGTGCCGGGGCCCTGCGGTGCGTTCTCGGGGGTCTGGGGGCTAAACCGAGGTGTGAGCAGGGAGAGCCTCTGTCCCCCCTTTCGCAGCATCCCTCGGCTCGGGGCCTCTTCGTCCCCTTCACTGCCACAGCACAGCCTCTTCCTGTCTCTCTGAATCTCATTTACCACCTCCTCTCCTGAGGACCCTGTGAGGACACCAGGGACCCTGGACCCCCGCTATGCTCTCCCGCCTCTGTGTCCTGAACCAGGTCCCACCTGCAGGTCCTTCTGTGTGAGAGGCCGCCCAGCCACAGGTCCTGGGGCCACTGTTCAGCCGACCACACCAGGATGCCTTGATTCCCGTTGTAATCAGTAACGCCCCTGACATGGTTCCCTGGGTCCCCTTGCTGTCCCTGTGAGAAGGCGCCATCCAGGGACATTTTCGTTGCTGTGAGTGGACGGTGGCCTCTGGGGACAGGCATCCAGGAGGGCCCGGAGTGGCAGGCGTGGCCGAGGAGACAGGCCCCGCGGTACAGCAGCCCCAGGGTCCCATGGCTGCGGTCGCGTGGCCAGCACAGCAGCGCAGGGTCTGCCCTGACCCCACCTCCCCGTAGGTGCTGTTGTGCGCGTCCAGCCAGACCAGCAGCATCGTGGAGTGCTGGTCCCTTCGCAAGGAGGGGCTCCCGGTCAACAACATCTTCCAGCAGATCTCCCCCGTGGGTGAGTCTCCCCGGCCGGCTGCGGGAGGACCTGGGCCTGCCCTCGGGGGCAGCTGGGTCTTATTTTTGAGGCAGGTAGCGCTCTGTCACCCAGGGTGGTCCTGAACCCCGGCCCTAAGCCATCCTCCCGCCTTGACCTCCAATAGTTGTGGGATCTCGGGCGTGATCACCTTGACTGCAGGCATTCTGGGTGTAAGGCGTGTAGACCCCTCCGTCCTGCCACTCCGCCCTGGCGGCCGCCACCATCCTATGGAGAACCGAGGCTCAGGGAGGCGCCGTCGCTGGCCCGCGCAGGCGTGTGGGCGGGGCCGTCGAGTGGGCGGGGCCGTGGGCGTGGCCGTCGAGTGGCGTGGTCGAACGGGCGTGCCTATGGGTGGGACTCGAGCTGGCGGGTCTGTGGGCGTGGCCGTCGGGCGGGCGGGTCTGTGGGTGGGGCCGTCGAGCGGGCGTATCTGGGTGGGGCAGTCGAGTGGGCGTGTCTGGGTGGGGCTGCCGAGCGGCGGGTTTGTGGGCGTGGCCGTCGAGCGGGTGGGTCTGTGGGCGTGGCTTTCGAGTGGGCGTGTCTGTGGGTGGGGCAGCCGAGCGGGCGGGTCTGTGGGCGGGACCGTCGAGTGGGCGGGTCTGTGGGTGGGGCAGTCGAGTGGAGCAGCCAGTCTGTGGGCGGGGCCGTCAACCAGCCGGGGACAGGCCAGACTCGGCGGGGCGGTGAACGGAATTCTCCCCGACCTGGTTCAGGGAGGAGCAGCCGAGGCTCAGCGGGTCAGCTGAGGCTGATGAGAACACCCCCTCCGCCACCCACCTCAGCAGCAGCCTCTTCCGGGGCCCCCATTCCCATCTCTGTCTGCCCGATGGGCCCCCCAGCACCCACAGAGCCAAGCCCGTCACCCCCATCTCCAGCGCACATTGCCCCACTGTCACGACTGGGGGCAGAACAGCGCTAGAGGCTCTGGGTCCGGCTTTCAGACTGGCCTTTGCCCTGGAGAAGGGAGAGGGTTACTGCGGATGAGAGCGCAGGCATTTGCCGATGAGCGCTAATGACCCGGAGTGGCTGGACTCGGGCAGGTGCTCTTCATAAGCTGCTAACGAGCCCGTGGCTCGCTGTGCCTGCGGGTGGTTACCTCACCTGCCCATCGTGGCCGTGGAGGCAGGAAAGGTGAAGAGGGCCTCCACCTGGTCCTCCCCGCAGGCCTCGTGCGTCAGCAGCAATGTGGGCTGCATTGGCTCATTCGGCAGCACCTGGCGCCACCCCACACTGGAGGCAGGGCCGCAGGCACCCGCAGCTTCGCTCCATGCACGTCTGTGTCCACCATCAGCCCGCAGTCAGGCCACCTGGCAGTCCCGGGTCTGACGCCCCACCGCATCTCCTGCAACGGTCCACACCCTCCAGTCCAGCTCCTGCTGGCCTTGAGAGCCACGTCTCATACTCACACAGCAGCGTTTCTCAGGCCTCCTGTCCCTGGCAGCTGGGGGGTCACTGTGAGGCAGTCCCTGTCCGACCCATCTCTCCACCCATCCTGCCACATGCCCATAATGCCAGGTTTCGGTCCTTCTCACACTCAACTCTCCACCCACTGCCCCAGGTGCTCACCACACCAGGCTTCAGTTCCTTCTGCACTCAGCTCTCCACCCACTGCCCAACGTCCCCACATGCCAGGCTTTGTGTCCCAGCTACTTCCACCCTCAGCCCTGCACCCCTGCCCCCACCCATTCCCATTCTGGCCAGCCCACCCTGTTCCTTGAGGCCCAGCCTGGAGGTGGCCCCGTGGGTGGAACCTCAGGTCCCTGCCCTGCCTCTCAGTTCAGCCCAGGGCAGGGGTGGCCCGGCCCACGGAGGCTCGGAGCCCAGCAGCTGAGACAGTCTCTGCCTTGAGCCCCGTTGTTTAGGAATGGTTGCTATCCGTCAGTTGGATGGAGGAGGGGATGTAAATCGAGGGCACCCTGAGCACCAGCTGGGTGTCATGGCAGCCACTTCACCCGGCCCTAGAGCACCGGGGTTCCTGTCTTTCCTCTGAGAGGCTCAACTGCATGAGGGCCAGCCGCCCTGACCACTGTATGCCCTCCGGACATCTCAGCCACTCTCTGGGCCTCAGTTTCCCCTGGGAATGCTGCTCACAGGACCCCTATATGGATTTGTAGGAGGTCAAGGCTCTGTGACCATGATGTCCAGTCCAGGGCAGAAACCTCAGGGTGACATGGGTGACACAGAGCAGCCGTGTGGTAGTCAGCTTCAGCTGCGTAACAAGCCACCCCCACACTGAGCGGCTCAGACCAGCGGCCCTGCACGGTCTGCAGTCAGCAGCAGAGGTGGCCTGTCCTGTCCCCTGGCCACATGTGCTCCCGCAGGCCAGCTCTGGCTGACCTCCACGTTCCACGTGCAGCAAGAGCAGCACCCCGCTCTCCACCCAAGCTCTCTGGGCCCGTGTGTGTGTGTGTGTCTGTGTGTGAATGAGATAGATTCCAGGCTGGAGTACAGTGGCGTGATCCCAGCTCTCAGCTCACTGCAGCCTCAGCCTCCTGAGCTTCAGCAATCCTCCCACCTCAGCCTCCTGAGTAGCTGGGACTGCAGGTGTGCGCAGGTGTGCATTACCACGCCCAGCTAAGGTTTTTGTATTTTTTGTAGAGATGGGGTCTAGCTGTGTTACCCAGGCTGGTCTTGAACTCCTGGGCTCAAGCCGTCCTCTGGCCTTGGCTTCCCAAAGCGCTGGGATGGGAGGCATGAGCCACCGCACCTGGCCGCGTCCCATTTGCTAACACTTGACCCGAGATTCCCGGAAATAGACTCTGACCTGTTGGGAGGAGCTGCATCTTCATGCAGAGGCTGCCAGGCAGCAGATCCGTGGGTGTGACCATCCTGCACGGCCTTATCCTGTGGGGACCCTGGAATTGTAGATGAGGAGGAGTGGAAATCCCAGCTCAGCTGGCTGAGGCAGAGGGAATGTAGGGGTTTGCATGGCTGCAGGTCTGGGGTGGGGCGTCTCCCCATTGTCTGCTCCATCAAGGGGCAAGATGGTCCCACCCCACTGGTTTCCATAAAATCCCAGGGCCTCAGGCCGGGCGTGGGGCTCATGCCTATAATCCCAGCATTTTGGGAGGCCCAGGCGGGTGGATCACGAGGTCAAGAGATTGAGACCATCCTGGTCAACATGGTGAAACCCCATCTCTACTAAAAATACAAAAATTAGCTGGGCACGGTGGCGCGTGCCTGTAACTCGGGAGGCTGAGGCAGGAGAATTGCCTGAACCCAGGAGGCGGAGGTTGCGGCGAGCCGAGACCGCGCCATTGCACTCCAGCCTGGGTAACGAGCGAAACTCCGTCTCAAAAAAATAAAAATAAAAAATCCCAGGGCCTCATCCCATTGGCTTTGCCTTGGGTCACACGGCTGTCCCAGAACCAGTGGGCAAGTCACTGAGCACTCGGATCAGCCAGGCCTGGTGTTCCTGGCATGGGAGCGAGGCCGCGTGAGACCCGGGAAGGGCACTGGGTGGGCTGCAGGCCCTGCCCTGCTGGGCTGTTGTGGCAGCTTCTCAGCCCGTCTTCACACCGTTTTCCTGCCTTTCGTTTTCCTGTCTCTGATTTTTCAGTTGGTGACAAACAGCCCACGATTCTCAAATGGCGGATCCTGTCCGCCACCAACGACCTGGACCGGGTGTCAGCCGTGGCGCTGCCCAAGCTGCCCATCTCGCTCACCAACACCGACCTCAAGGTGGCCAGCGACACCCAGTTCTACCCTGGCCTTGGTACGGCAAAGCCAGCGGCAGCCACACAGGCCCTCGGCTCACAGCAGGGGAGCCGGGCTCGGAGCGCAGGCCATGGGGCCACGGGAGCTCGGCCTCCCGGGCTCTGATGGGTCCCCGATCTGGAGGCAGACCTTGTCATTCCAGCTCTGTGAGGCTGGCAGACAGATCCTATGCTCTTTAATATGTAAAGATATTTAATATTTTTAAATATCTTTAAAGATATTTAATATTTTCAATCAACAAGGGAGCATGGGGAACTTGGGTAGGCAGCACCTCTGCTGTCTGCACTGCAGCGGTCGTAATGTGGGTCCTGGTCTCAAACCGTGGCATCCGTGTCCCCGAGTGAGTCCACGCTCTCTGTGTCGCTGGGCCTGTTTGCTCAGCTGTAAGGTGGGGACAAGCCCGCCTTAGCTCAGGCCCCTTCCTTCCCCTAGCTCCCATTTTCCCTGGTTCCCCGGAAAGAGTGTTTATCAAAACCCGCCCGGGGCTCAGGGCTGTTTGTCGGAGCCTGTGGAGAGGTTAAGGGGGACGCGGTTCCCGGCTCCAAAACCTTTGGTTTGTTCTCCATTTTCCAGGGACCCCTTTCAAATCCACGAGCTTCAGGCTCTGGACCCCACCCCCCACCCCACCCTCATTCACAGGCAGGCCCAGTGTGACTGACGACCTCAACCCACCAGCCTAAGATGCCTCTTTTTGGGGCGCCAGGAGCTCTGGCCCTCGGTCCCCCCTAGATGGGCAGCTCCACACCCTACAGAGCAGGCGGCCCTTCCACAGGTGGGCATGTCCCGGGCCCTGCCCCTGCCTAAGCCAAACCCGTGCCCCGCAGGGCTGGCCTTGGCCTTCCACGACGGCAGCGTCCACATCGTGCACCGGCTCTCCCTGCAGACCATGGCCGTCTTCTATAGCTCCGCGGCCCCGAGGCCCGTGGATGAGCCGGCCATCAAGCGCCCCCGTACCGCAGGCCCCGCCGTCCACTTCAAGGCCATGCAGCTGTCCTGGACCTCGCTGGCCCTGGTGGGCATTGACAACCAGGGGAAGGTGAGCTGCTCGGGCGTGTGGAGCTGGGCTGGTGGGGGTGCCAGAGGGAGGTGCCCCGTGGGGAAGGGACCACAGGTGCAAGTCCCTCGCAGCCCCTGCCTGCATCTGTGTCTGTGCGATGGGTTTGTCTTGGTCAGTGAGGTCACTGGGGCGGCCTGCGGCGTGTGTTAGGAAGTTTGCAGCTAGGAGCTATGAGAGGACAGACTTTCGTGGTGTAGACTCCTCAGCATGCAGGGAGACGTGTGTGTAGACTCCTCAGCATGCAGGGAGACGTGTGTGTAGACTCCTCAGCATGCAGGGAGACGTGTGTGTAGACTCCTCAGCATGCAGGGAGACGTGTGTGTAGACTCCTCAGCATGCAGGGAGACGTGTGTGTAGACTCCTCAGCATGCAGGGAGACGTGTGTGTAGACTCCTCAGCATGCAGGGAGACGTGTGTGTAGACTCCTCAGCATGCAGGGAGACGTGTGTGTAGACTCCTCAGCATGCAGGGAGACGTGTGTGTAGACTCCTCAGCATGCAGGGAGACGTGTGTGTAGACTCCTCAGCATGCAGGGAGACGTGTGTGTGCCCGGCTCGGCATCCGACGCAGTTGGGACTCAGGGAGTGTTTTCCTTCTCTGTTCTCAGAGGCATTGTCTGTGACCCTGACAGAAAGGTGCAGGCAGTGCACGCACACACGTGCAGGCACGCAGGCCCATGCACGGGGGCGTGCACACACACACGCATGCACACGGGGTTGTGCACATGGGAACGTACACCCACAGGCATGGCTGCCCGCTGACCCACGGGTCTGTGTGGGGGCCTCCGGAGTAGGCTTGGTAAAGAGCCACCCCTCCGTCATGGAGAGGAGCTGCCAGGCAGGTCCCTTCCCCGCCCTCCACAAGATGCACCTCAGCCCCAGGGCCCTGGGCTCGTCCACATCGTACGCTCTCCCCCGGCTCTGTCTCTGGCAGCTGAGTGTGCTCCGCCTGTCACCCTCCATGGGCCACCCGCTGGAGGTGGGGCTGGCGCTGCGGCACCTGCTCTTCCTGCTGGAATATTGCATGGTGACTGGCTACGACTGGTGGGACATCCTGCTGCACGTGCAGCCCAGCATGGTGCAGAGCCTGGTGGAGAAGCTGCACGAGGAGTACACGCGCCAGACTGCGGCCCTGCAGCAGGTGGGGTCCCCAGGCAGGTGGGGCTGTCCCTGTGGCAGGTGGGGCTGTCCCTGTGGCAGGTGGGGTCCCAGGCAGGTGGGGCTGTCCCTGTGGCAGGTGGGGCTGTCCCTGTGGCAGGTGGGGTCCCAGGCAGGTGGGGCTGTCCCTGTGGCAGGTGGGGTCCCCAGGCAGGTGGGGCTGTCCCTGTGGCAGGTGGGGTCCCCAGGCAGGTGGGGCTGTCCCTGTGGCAGGTGGGGTCCCCAGGCAGGTGGGGCTGTCCCTGTGGCAGGTGGGGTCCCCAGGCAGGTGGGGCTGTCCCTGTGGCAGGTGGGGTCCCCAGGCAGGTGGGGCTGTCCCTGTGGCAGGTGGGGTCCCCAGGCAGGTGGGGCTGTCCCTGTGGCAGGTGGGGTTGTCCCTGCAGTAGGTGGGGTCCCCAGGCAGGTGGGGCTGTCCCTGTGGCAGGTGGGGTCCCCAGGCAGGTGGGGCTGTCCCTGTGGCAGGTGGGGTCCCCAGGCAGGTGGGGCTGTCCCTGTGGCAGGTGGGGTTGTCCCTGCAGTAGGTGGGGTCCCCAGGCAGGTGGGGCTGTCCCTGTGGCAGGTGGGGTCCCAGGCAGGTGGGGCTTTCCCTGTGGCAGGTGGGGTCCCAGGCAGGTGTGTTGCCCTTGGGATAGCCAGGGGCTCTGTGGTCAGTGAGAGGCCAGCGGCAGGGAGAGGGGTCCCGTGGAGGGTGGGGGAAGTCCCTGCAGCAGTCATGGAGGTCCCTGTGGCAGATGTGGTAGCTGGTGGGGGGGGTCCCCATGGCAGGCAGGGGCTCCGTGGCAGGTGGAGGGCAGAAGGGGCAAGTAGCCTGCGGCAGGTGAGGCTGTGTGTGGGGTGGGGTGTTTCCAGAGGCCCGTCCAGTAGAGTTGAGCCTGAGAGAAGCACTTGCTTTCCCTCCTTACCTGGGAAGGTTCCTCTTAACACATTAGGCCTCTTTTGCTGTGAGGTTGCTGAGGTGCAGAGGCTAAGCAGCTTGCCCAGCTCACCCAGCACCTGGTGCCAGAGCCTGACTGCCCTTCTCCCCAGCTGGAGCCTTGGCGGGCACCTCTGCCCCAGCCCCTCGGGGTGACACCGGCTTCCTGCTCACACCATCCGCCTTCCAGGTCCTCTCCACCCGGATCCTGGCCATGAAGGCCTCGCTCTGCAAGCTGTCCCCCTGCACGGTGACCCGCGTGTGCGACTACCACACCAAGCTCTTCCTCATCGCCATCAGCTCCACCCTGAAGTCACTGCTGCGCCCCCACTTCCTCAACACGCCCGACAAGAGCCCCGGAGACCGGCTGACCGAGATCTGTGCCAAGATCACCGACGTCGGTGGGTCCCGTCCCGCGCCCCAGCCTCGGGCTCCTTTCACCCTTTACTTACTGTATTATTTAATCTTTTGAGATGGAGTCTCGCTCTGTCGCCCAGGCTGGAGGGCCGTGGCGGGATCTCTGCACACTTCATCCTCCACCTCCTGGGTTCAAGGGATTCTCCTGCTTCAGCCTCCCGAGTAGCTGGGATCACAGGCGTGTGTCACCACGCCCAGCTAGTTTTTGTATTTCTAGTAGAGACAGGGTTTCACCATGTTGGCCAGGCTGGTCTCGAACTCCTGACCTCAAATGATCCCCATGCCTTGGCCTCCTAAAGTGCTGGGATTACAGGCGTGAGCCACCGTGCCCGACCTTTTAGAGACAGGGTCTCACTCTGTCACCCAGGCTGCAGTGTGGTGCCTCTGCCTTCCATGCTGTCTTCTCTCCCCAGCCTCTGGAGTAGCTGGGATTACAGGCGTGCGCCACCATACTCGGTTTTTAATTTTTTGGTTTAACTATTTAGGGTCTCACTGTGTTGTCCAGGCTGGTCTTGACCTACTGAGCTGACGTGATCCTTCCACCTCTCTCCTGGGGGCCAGGCTGCTGCTCCTACGCTGGGACCTGACACCTAGTCCTGTGGGGCAGGTCCGCTCCTCCCCATTTGCCATAAGGGGACTGAGGCCCAGAGAGGCTAAGCAGCTTGCCCAGGCCCGCCCAGCACGTGGCATCCCACTCACCTCAGCCTCCCAAAGTGCTGGGATTGCAGGCGTGAGCCACTGCATCTGACAGGCTGTTTCTTTCAAAATTGGGGTTATCATTTACTGTAAAATTAGAGTATCCAGTTCTCTATAGGCACATGGCACTCCCAGTAGCTGGGAGCGGTGTGCGCATTCGTGGTAGTTTCTGTGGGGCCACCCTAGTCGCCATCCCAGAGGTACCTGCTGGGTGTGTAACCATCGCCAGGTGTGGGGTGGGGGTGGCTACAGCTGCACAGTGTGGACATGTCCTGCGTTCACAGAGCCCACCCCGAGCAGGGGCCAGATGTGCACCAGTGGGCCGGGTCAGAGCAGTGCATCCCTGGCATGGGGACCTGCCCACCCAAGGTCTGCAGGCCGAGAGAAGCTGGTTGGTGCTGAGCACAGCGGCCCCCGGGGTGGGCGGGCAGTGAGCTCCCGGTTCATCTCCATCAGGCCATGCCATCACCCGCGTCTCATTCCCAGTGTGGGCCCCCGCTTGCCCGGCACTGGGTGGGTGCTCAGTGCAGGACTGTGGGGAGCATTTAGGTCACCCCGTGTGTCCCGGAGGCCCGGCCTGACCTGAACCGCATCTCCTTGCAGACATTGACAAGGTCATGATCAACCTCAAGACGGAGGAGTTTGTCCTGGACATGAACACGCTGCAGGCGCTGCAGCAGCTCTTGCAGTGGGTGGGCGACTTCGTGCTCTACCTGCTGGCCAGCCTGCCCAACCAGGTGCGCCTGCCCTCCAAGGCCCCGCCCCTCACTAGGGCCCCGCCTCCCTGGCCCCGCCCATGTCCGTGTTCCACCTCCCCGGCCCCGCCCCTCAGAGGCCCCACCTCCCAAGCCTTGCTTCTCAACACCGCAGCCCCGCCCCTTCCTGGAGCCCCACCTCCTGGCCCTGCCTCTTCTCAAAGCCCCGCTTCCTAGCCCGCAGCTCCTGAAGCCCTGCCCCGCCCTGGAGCCCTGTCTCCTCCTTCCTGCCCATTCTCAAAGTCCCGCCTCCCAGGCCCTGCCCCTTCTCAGCCCCACCCCTACTCGAAGCTCCTGCTCCGCTGCCTCCCCCCCCATTACCCTCCCCAGACCCCTTCACCTGGGGTAGGCGGCTTTGAAGTCAGGAACTCACTGCAGGCCCCAGCAGGCTCGGTCCACTCCCCCACCTCCAGGTCTGCAAGCTGGGCACCATCCTGCCCCTGTCTTTCCACCGTGGCCGTCAGGCACAGTTTGAAGACCCTCTGCTCTTTGTGGGGCTTTAGGCTGCCAGGGGCCACCCCCTGGAGCCTCCCTTCCCTGGTCCTCTGGCCTCCCAGTGCAGCCGCGGTGGTGGGAGGGGGGGCACTTAGCTGTGGGAGGGTCAGCTGCTCCCCCGAATGTGGGTAGGGGTGTTGGCGTCAGCGGGAGCCTCCTCTCGGCCCTGTGGACTTTTGGGTCAGGGACGGGATGACTCTTCAAGTCCTGACCTCCACAAACGTCCCAGACCCTGCCCATCGCCCCCAGGCCGGGGTTCTACGCACCCTGAGATTCATCCCCTCACCATCTGCTCCCCGCTGCCCCTGCCATGCTGGGCGCCTCTTTCCTGCAGGGCTCCCTGCTGCGGCCGGGCCACAGCTTTCTGCGGGACGGCACCTCGCTGGGCATGCTTCGGGAGCTGATGGTGGTCATCCGCATCTGGGGCCTGCTGAAGCCCAGCTGCCTGCCTGTGTACACGGCCACCTCGGACACCCAGGACAGCATGTCCCTGCTCTTCCGCCTGCTCACCAAACTCTGGATCTGCTGTGAGGCCCCCCACCTGCCACTCTCCTCTCCCCACCAAAACACAAGCCCTGCCCCAGCCCCCCGCCAGAACATAAGCCCCTGCAGGTGGCGGTGGCTCTGCCTGGACCTCTGCCAACGCCCCAGTTCCCAGCCCAGGTCCAGGCTTGGTGTGGGTGCTTTGCGGATGGCAGCCGCTCCCAGGCTCCTCTCCCTGTCTCATCGGTCGTGTGTATGAGGAGTGCGGGCTCTGTCATTCTTACATCCCAGTGTCTGGGAAAGGCACAGTGCTTGCCACATACTTTTTAAGTGACTGAGGCCAGAGAGGGGGAGAAAACCCTAGGATCACCCAGCCAGGCAGGCAGAGCCAGGGCCGGACTTGGTGCTCCTGAGAGGGAGGAGGCCCCAGCGCGTCCCCGGTGGGTGGGCGGGCGGGCAGGCGGTGCCCCAGGCAGAGGTGTTGAGACCTTGGCCACCCTCCCCGCAGGTCGAGACGAGGGCCCAGCAAGTGAGCCGGACGAGGCGCTGGTGGACGAGTGCTGCCTGCTGCCCAGCCAGCTCCTCATCCCCAGCCTGGACTGGCTGCCCGCCAGCGACGGCCTGGTCAGCCGCCTGCAGCCCAAACAGCCCCTGCGGCTACAGTTTGGCCGGGCACCCACGCTGCCTGGCAGCGCCGCCACCCTGCAGCTCGACGGCCTCGCAAGGTGCGTGTGTCCCTGCACGGGTCCCCAAACCCACACGGCTCTCTCCTCCATGCCCGGCCCCGGGACCCCCCCGCAAGTCCACACGGCTCCCTCGTCCATGCCCTGTCCCAGGACCCCCAAATCCACATGGCTCCTTCCTCCATGCCCGGCCCTGGGACCCCTGAATCCACATGGCTCCTTCCTCCCTGTGCCCTGCCCCAGGACCCCCCCGCAAATTCACACGGCTCCCTCCTCCATGCCCTGCCCCAGGACCCCCAAATCCACATGGCTCCCTCCTCCATGCCTGGCCCTGGGACCCCTGAATCCACACGGCTCCTTCCTCCCTGTGCCCTGCCCCGGGACCCCCAAATCCACACGATTACGACAGCTGCGTCCTTCCAGGTTCCCCCTAGCGCCGTCCCCTAGTGGTGTCCTCTGCCGTTGGCATGAACTACCCCACACACATGGGCACCAATGCTTCTGTTCACCCACTTGTTTTTTTTTTTTTTTTCCCCAACAGTCTTGCTCTGTCACCCAGGCTGGAGTGCAGTGGTGCCATCTCAGCTCACTGTAACCTCTGCCTCCTGGGTTCAAATGATTCTCCTGCCTCAGCTTCCTGAGTAGCTGAGATTACAGGCACCTGCCACCACACTCAGCTGATTTTTTGTATTTTTGGTAGAGACGGGGTTTCGCCATGTTGGTCAGGCTAGTCTTGATCTGATCTCAGGTGATCCACCCACCTCAGCCTCCCAGAGTGCTGGGATTACAGGCGTGAGCCACCGCGCCCGGCCACCTTCGTTTTCACTGACTGTATGCTGGCCTTGCTGTGCCAGGCGCCCTGCAGCTGGCCTGAGTCTCTGGCCCCTCTAGAGGTCCAGGCCCCACTGTAAATCCCTCTGTTGATGGGGACCCCCTAGCATGGCCCAGGGCCCTGGTGAGCACAGATGCCTCATCGGGAAGGTCTCCTGGGGGTAAGGGGTCACCTGCAGGGCCCAAGGCTGGCCTTTCTCTGCAATGTGCAGGGTTTGGACAACCCAAGCCTGCTGAGCTGACCCTGGCCACCCAGTGAGGAAACCCCACCAGGAAAGGCATAGCCACTCATCTGGGGTCACAGGATCGGGAAGTGGCTGAGTCAGGCTTTGAACGCAGGCCCGTCAGACCCCTGAGCACATTTCCGACCCGTGTTTGACGAGGAGCATGTGCAAATCCTCCTGATGGCTGGAATTTTAGAAAACACAGATGAGCAAAAGGAAGAAAATGAAATGAGCCTGCTGCAGCCCCTCCTCCAGGGAGGCCACCCGGCTTGGCTCTGGGACCTCCAGCATTTTCTTCCTCATGCCCACAGTGGGAGGGGCCGCCTGATGAGTCACACACTGGGGTTTCTGGGTTTCAGGAAGACTAGATGAAAAGAGAGGATGGCCGGGCGCTGTGGTTCATGCCTGTAATCCCAGCACTTTGGGAGGCTGAGGCGGGTGGATCACGAGGTCAGGAGATCGAGACCATCCTGGTCAACATGGTGAAACCCCGTCTCTACTAAAAAATATATAAAAAATTAGCTGGGCCTCGTGGCGCGTGCCTGTAATCCCAGCTACTCGGGAGGCTGAGGCAGGAGAATTGCCTGAACCCAGGAGGCGGAGGTTGCGGTGAGCCGAGATCGCGCCATTGCACTCCAGCCTGGGCGACAAGAGCGAAACTCCGTCTCAAAAATAAAAAGAAAAGAAAAGAAAAACGAGAGGACGGCCAGGTCTGAGGCTTGTAAACTGTTTGGGAAATTTTCAAGTATTTGATGAGAGCAGAGTAGACCGGCCCACCTCTGCCCAGACACAGGCCCCCCACCCGCCACCGAGGGCAGCTTTGGCCGCCGGGATCTGTTGTGCGGAGGTCCTGGCGTCCCCAGGCTGGGTGTCTGTGGACAGGGGTGGTGTGGAAGCCCCCACGTACTCCCTCCTGTCCATCCTGGAGTGGGAGCACCGCAAGTGCCTTCTCTTGCCCCTCAGGCTTCCTGTGCACTTGGGAGGCCCACCCTTCACTGGGCCTGTCCCAGGTGTCCACGTACCTCCCACCTCACTGTTCATAGACACCTGGGCCCACCTGATGGATGGTGTGAGGTGGCCGACCACCCACCCGCCTGGCCTCACGACAGCCCAGCGAGCCCTCACGCTCTCCCCTGTCCTGCCAGGGCCCCAGGCCAGCCCAAGATCGACCACCTGCGGAGGCTGCACCTCGGCGCCTACCCCACGGAGGAGTGCAAGGCTTGCACAAGGTGAGTTCTGCCCCCAGGCCCTGGTCACGCAGCTCGCAGACAGGCTGGGTGTTGCCATCTGTAAATGAGGCCATGGAGGACCTCCCTCTGGAGCTACGACTGAGAGATGAAACCCGGGGGTCTCTGGGGCCTCGTGGCCCGGGGAGGTCCGGCTCATCCCGTGCTGGGCTATGGGATGGAGCCGTCCTGCCTGTCTCCGCGGCGCCCCTGGTAACCCAAGGGCACAAGTTAAGTCACAGCCATTGCTGCCACACGACTGGCTTCTGACACGTCCTCAGCAAACGGAGGCCCAGAGCGCTGTGGACTCCCAGAGCTCTGCTGGGGATGGCCCGGCTGATTCCAGCCCCCAGCTCCACACGGTGAAGGGTGGCGGAGGGAACGTGTGGCGGAGGGGATGCTGCAGCCGGGATCCAAGCGGGGAGCAGTGAGCGGCGTGGCGGGCGCCGGTGCGGGGAGCAGCATTCCCGGTGGGCGGAGCAGCCGGGGCTGAGGCCCTGTGGCAGGTGGAAGCGTGGGGCACAGAAGCACCCACTCGGAGGCGGGAGCCCGGCTCAGCACCTGCCTCCCCACAGGTGCGGCTGCGTCACTATGCTCAAGTCACCCAATAGGACCACGGCGGTGAAGCAGTGGGAGCAGCGCTGGATCAAGAACTGCCTGTGTGGCGGGCTCTGGTGGCGGGTGCCCCTCAGCTACCCCTGAGCCAGGCTGCCAGGGAGCCTCCGCACACCCTGGACACTCTTTGGCATCATTAACCTCAGCCCGCCCCGGAGGGCTGTTGAAGACCATGGGCCGGGCGCCTCTGTGACCAACAGATCTTCTGAGGACGCCCCTGAGCCTTTCTCCAGTTGGGGCTGCAGCCCACACACCACCCTCCCAGGACCCCCAGATCCCCGGACCATCTGCGAACTTCAGATTCCTGGACTGTTCACGGCCTACACTCCACCCTTCCCGGGACCCCGAAATTCCCGGACTGTCTGCATCCAGAGGACCAGCCACGACAGCTGGGGGTCCAGGCAGACCCTGCAGTGACCTGGCTCGGGGCACCTGCCTCGGTTTCCTTGCCTCGCCTGGAGAGGGCATTGAACATGGACAAACTGTGGCTGGGGAGGGCAGGTCCAATAAACGCCCTCCACGCCCAGGCCTGTGTCCCTCCCATCAGTGCCCCCGGCCCTACTCACAACCTCCATTCAGGAGGCCGTGTCCTCTTGGCCTGTCTTTAAATCACTCAGCATTTACAGGTGCCCAGCGGATGCCAGGCCCAGGGCATCCAGAGTCAGCAGTGGGGCAGGACACAGCAGGCCCGGTGGGTGGGGTGGGGGCGGCCATCGTCAGGGAGCTTTGTCCGAGTGTGCGTCTCTGTGTGTCTCAGGGTGGTGTCTCTGTGCTGTCTGCATGTCTCTGTGTCTCTGTGTGTCTCTGTCTCTAGTATCTCTGAATGTCTCTGTCTCTAGTATCTCTGAATGTTTCTGAATGTCTCTGTGTGTCTCTGTCTCTGGTATCTCTGAATGTCTCTGACTGTTTCTGTGTATCTCTGTCTCTAGTATCTGAATGTCTCTGTGTCTCTGTCTCTAGTATCTCTGAATGTCTCTGAATGTCTCTGTGTGTCTCTGTCTCTAGTATCTCTGAATGTCTGTCTAGTATCTCTGAATGTCTCTGTGTATCTCTGTCTCTAGTATCTCTGAATGTCTCTGTGTCTCTGTTTCTAGTATCTCTGAATGTTTCTGAATGTCTCTGTGTGTCTCTGTCTCTGGTATCTCTGAATGTCTCTGTGTGTCTCTGTCTCTAGTATCTCTGAATGTCTCTGTGTGTCTCCTGTTTCTATATGTGTCTGCGTGCTGTTTCTGCCTCTGCCTAGCTCTGTACCTCTAGCCGCTCCCTGCCTGAGGCCGCTCAGCCCCTGGGCGAGAGTTTGTGCTTCTGTCCCCAGGGGTCCCGCCTTCTGCCTCCAACAAGCACTTCTTCCAATTACCCTGCGTCCAGCAGCTGGAGGCCTTCCCAGCACGGTGGCGCCCCGCTGTGTGCGGACAGCCCCCTCCTTTCTGCAGCTCCGCGGAGGGCAGGGAAGGAGGATCGAGTGCCCAGCGCCGGCTCAAAAGGCGGGAGCTCAGACACCCCAGAACCTCCCTGAGGTACCTCCACTTTAAAGCGCTCCTGCCTACAGCTGCAGACTCCAGGCCTCTGCACCCTGGCTGGGACAGCTGGCCACTGAGGGGTGGGCCCCTCTCACCACCCACCGACCACCCTCTGAGGGAAACGGCATTCCCTAGGGCAGCCTCCCGGGCCTGGACGCACCCCTGCAACCTCTCCCAATGTGTGCACGGATGGACTTGGCGCCTAGATGCTCTCGGCCTGCGTCCCCCCAGAACTCCTGTCCCACTGCCTCCTAAACCCTCTCCTCCTCTGCAACCCTCTGCAGCCCCTGCTGACCAAAGGATGGGGTGAAAACGCCCAGGTGGGCTGGACGGGGCACCTCACATCCCAGCACCAAGGGAGACCCAGGCGGGAGGATCGCCTGGGCCCAGGACGTCATGACCAGCCCAGGCAACGTGGCGGGACCTCATCGCTACAAAAATCTTAAAAATTAGCCAGGCGTGGTGGCACTGCACGTGCCCGTGGTCCCGGATACACAGGGGGCTGTGGTGGGAGGATCACTTGAGCCCGGGAGCTGCAGTTTCAGTGAGCTGCGATGGCACCACTGCACCGGAGCCTGGGGCGACAGAGTAAAACCGTGTCTCAAAAAAAAAAAAAAAAAGCTTCTGTTTGTTGGAAATTCCCGTCTAACTGGGGGCCTGTGTTTGCCATATCTGGTCATCTCTCCTGCCCCGCCTCAACCTGAATCAGCCATAAGTGGTTCTCTGATGTCATTTCATTCCGGAAATACCTATGGAATGAATGAACGAATGGGTGACTGAATCACCAGCAACTATGTTTCCATGTCTCCCCTTAGTTAAATGTTGCAGGGCTTAAGAAATTACATGCGGATCATGAGGTCAACAGATCGAGACCATCCCGGTCAACATGGTGAAACCCCGTCTCTACTAAAAATACAAAAAATTAGCTGGGCACGGTGGCGCGTGCCTGTAATCCCAGCTACTCGGGAGGCTGAGGCAGGAGAATCGCTTGAACCCGGGAGGCGGAGGTTGCGGTGAGCCGAGATTGCACCACTGCACTCCAGCCTGGGTGACAAGAGCAAAACTCTCTCAAAAAAAACAAAAAAAGAGATTCACAAACACAGTGAGATACAACTTCACGGTTGCCTCCAGACGGCTGAATGGAGGCCTTTCCATGCAGTGGAATATTTACCAAATTCCTAAGAGCAGGGCTGGGACTTACATGTGTCTTACCATGCCAGGCCCAGGGCCCTGCACACAGTAAGCGCCCAATACATGCTTGCGTGTAAATGTGATTCCCAGGTGAGCACGCCGTAGCCCCCAGAAAACACCCAAGCACGGTTTTCAGTTCCATCCCCCTTTTCCCAGTGGACTCTACCTCCCAAAGGGCCGGGCTGGGCTGGGGTGGCTCCAGGTGGGAGAAAGGGCACAGGGCCTCAGGCCTCCTGACTGCCCCAGGTCCCAGGCCCCAAGCGGGTGCGCTGCTTGCTCTTCCTCCTGCTCTTCCACCTGGTGGCACCCAGGGTGGTTTGTGAAGGGAGGCTTCCCTGGCTCTGGGCTGGAGTCCAGGCTGCATCCTGGAGCTTCCGTGTGACCTCAAGAGAGTCGCACAGCCCCTGTGAGCCTCAGTTTCCCCTTCTGGGACATGGGTCATAGCAGGACAGCTTCGCAGGGTCTCTGCACCAGAGTCTCAGCCCACAGCCTTGCACACAGTAGGCGCTCACGTTCCCCTTGGGGAATAAAGGGAAATGACACCAGGCAGACCAGGAGGGGACACCCGCGCCCGGCCTCTCGGGGCTTCCCCTGGAGTGGGGAGCGGTGACTCTTCTCAGACTTCCAGGAAAGAGCAAGAGCGCCCCCGTGTGGCCGCCTCCTGAGGCGCCGCCGAGAACCCTCAGCCCCTTGGAAGCCCAGGACCTTGAAACTTCGCGCTGTATTTTCAGCTTTTGCGTTTTTATCTGTAGCTTCCCGCCTTGCCCTACCCCCCCTCTTTTTTTTTTTTTTTTTTTTTTTGAGACGGAGTTTCGCTCTTGTCACCCAGGCTGGAGTGCAATGGTGCGATCTCGGCTCACCGCAACCTCCGCCTCCTGGGTTCAGGCAATTCTGCCTCAGCCTCCCGAGTAGCTGGGATTACAGGCACGCGCCACCATGCCCAGCTCATTTTTTTATATTTTTAGTGGAGACGGGGTTTCACCTTGTTGAACAGGATGGTCTCGATCTCTTGACCTCGTGATCCACCCGCCTCGGCCTCCCAAAGTGCTGGGATTACAGGCGTGAGCCACCGCGCCCGGCCTCCTCTCTCTTTTTAATGTTTCTGTTTTTTGTGGGTAACCCCCCATCTAGGCACCGAGGAATGAGAGCTAAGCAGGACCCTGGCACAGTTAGGGCTTGAGGAATAGCTCACTTTATAGTGTTACCACTCAGCTATTTCCTTTTATATAATCCTTTATATAATCATATATTAGTTTATAGAAATAGGGCTTGAAGAATCCCTTTATATAATCCCCTATATATAATCATATAATAGTTGATAGTATAAGTGCCTAAAGAATATTCCCAGGCCGGGCGTGGTGGCTCAAGCCTGTAATCCCAGCACTTTGGGAGGCCGAGGCGGGTGGATCACGAGGTCAAGAGATCGAGACCATCCCGGTCAACATGGTGAAACCCCGTCTCTACTAAAAATACAAAAATTAGCTGGGCACGGTGGCGTGTGCCTGTAATCCCAGCTACTCGGGAGGCTGAGGCAGGAGAATTGCCTGAACCCAGGAGGTGGAGGTTGCAGTGAGCCGAGATGGCGCCATTGCACTCCAGCCTGGGTGACAAGAGCGAAACTCCGTCTCAAAAAAAAAAAAAAAAAAAAGAATATTTCCCTACATATATACCTGTAATTATATCTTAGTTCATATCGGAGGAATGCCTGGAGCAAACACAGTGCAGAGCATGATTTAAGGGAAAACAGTTATGCCAGGACAAGGATCCCAGGCGGCAGCGTTCAGTATCGTAAAGATACCCGCTGTGTGGCAGGCTTGGGGCGAGAGCCACTGCTCCTGGTAAAGGCGTTGTAGGACCCCGCTCCAGTTCTTGTGGAAGGCCGCCCTCAGACCGGCAATCCACCCCGGTGACTGTGAACTCTATCAGCGCTTGCTACTGTGCTGCTTGAAAAGCATCTTCCCATAGAACCCACTGGAAGCTGCCAGCAGGTGACAGTAACCCTGACAGCTCTGTCACTGCTGTGTGACTTAAGCATCCTCCTATAAACGTTCTTAGAAGTAGTTTCCCATAGATAGAAGTATTGCACACTGCGCCCTCTTCACTCACGGCCCACCTTCAAGCCTCGGTGACCTAATGGGGGTGGACCCCTTACTGTGTATGGCCCTTGCCTTCATGGGAACGGGCCCCTTGCTGCGCACTGTCCACCTCCTGGCCTAGGTGACCTAATGGGGGTGGACCCCTTGTTTTATTGCTCACGACCCTATCACTATCCTTAAAGATGACTTCACTCACTGCCCTCCCCACTAACCTATACACAATAAATACTCAGGCTTCTGGACATTCGGGGCCTCGCCTGAGTCCGCTTATAGGTGGCGTGGCCCCCCCGGAGCCCAGCTGCGTTTTTCTTGTACTTCTGTGTCCTGTCTCTTTATTTCTCAGATCCTGCGCCTCGGTACAGCATAAGGCTCACCCCACGACCCTGTGGGGCCCTCAGCCCTACATCGGGCTCCCAATGTGACCTACAGTTTTTGTTTTGAGTTGGAGTCTTGCTCTGTTGCCCTGGAGTGCCCTGGAGTGCAATGGCGCCATCTCAGCTCACTGTAACCTCCGCCACCCAGGTTCAAGCGATTCTTCTGCCTCAGCCTCCCGAGTAGCTGGGATTACAGGCACGCGCCACCGTGCCCAGCTAATTTTTGTATTTTTAGTAGAGACGGGGTTTCACCATGTTGACCAGGATGATCTCGATCTCTTGACCTCGTGATCCACCTGCCTCAGCCCCCCAAAGTGCTGGGATTACAGGCTTGAGCCACCGAGC